GCCCCCCGAGGGGTCCCTCGAGCCGGGCTGGAATGTGCGTGGTAGGGACAGAACCAATCCCATTAGCACGAGGAGATTGTTTTTCCTTTGGTTTTGTTGTTGTTGAATCGCCCGTGGCAGGAAGGAGGACGGGCAGGGGAAAGCCATGGATGTGTTTTCCCATCCCTGGCATGGTGCTGCCCTGCCCAGCTCCAGCAGCTCCATGGGGTTTCCATCTTTGAAGGCCTGGTGGGCTTTGTGGTGGCTCCAGGCACGATTCAAAGGAGAATTTGTAAGGGAAAGGGCTCAGCTCCACACGTGGGGTCAGGAAGGTGCTTTGAGCCCTTGTCCAGCTCCCCATGTCACCTCCTCATCCTCGCTCTGTCCCTGGATGGGGATTTATCTCCATTGGGGTTAAAAGTGAATTTACTGGTCAGAAATTCGGGATTGCAGCTTTGTGCTGGCAGGAGCTGGGCCAGGAGCAGGGAGAGGCAGCTGGAGCTGCTGGAAAATATCCTTTCCCATCTGAGAGAGGAGCCCAGGCTCTGCTTCCATCACCTCCAGGAGCCCTGCAGCTCCAAACCTGCTGCTTCACCCAGGCTGGGGACTCTCATGGAAGAATGAGAACCATCACCTCCTTCCTCCTACAAGACAGGAATAAGAAACCTGCCCCGACCTCTTGGTGTCCTGCAGAATCTCCCTGGCATGCGAGAGGGAAGGGGATTGTTGGTCCCAAATCACCAAAAGGGGGATTGGCACATGGACTCCTCCTCTCTGCTGACCCAGTCCTGGGATTTCTGCTCTCTGAGGCATCCCAAGGACACCAGTGCTCTCCCTGAGCAGAGACATCCTGGAGGAGCAGCCCCGGGGCTCCGGGACAAGGAGCTGTGAGTGCTCCTGAGGGGAACGGGGTGAGAAACAGGGACAAAGGCACAATTGGGAGCAGATGGCAGGAGGGGAGGGAAATCCGTGCCTGGCCCAGCATTCTGTGAGCCTGGTGGAGCCAGGCCAGCTCCCAGCAGCTGAGATTTTCTGGAGGGGACAACAGGAGCCCAATGCAGCCACCAAGAGCAGCCAGGGGGGCTGCTAACCCTGATTGCAGCTGGTGAGACCCCCACAACCCTCAGCACCCACTGCTGGCACAGAGACCGAGCCACAGCCGAGGAGGGAGAGGCCACAGGGGTCTGTGGTGGAAGTGTAGGGGGGAATTTGCTGGATTTTCCCCCACTTTTTGAGGCGACTTCTTGCCACAGATGCATGCGGGATTAGTTGTGGAGCTGTGGTTGGACACGTGGACATAAAGGTGAGCGTGGACACAAGGACATCAGGATGAGCATGAGGAGGGGAGGATGGACACAAGGACACGAGGACATGAAGATGGACACGAGGACACGGTGATGGACACACGGGTGTGAACGTGGGCACACAAATGCTCACCCCAAGGCTCAGGGTGCCCTCATGCCCTCACCACCACCACCACCACCATGGGCTGGAGGGTGATTCCACCACAGCCTGGCCTGCCCGTGGCCACACACCACGAATTTCCCTTCCCCTGTGAAGAAATGAAAGAGGGAGCGAGAAGGAAAAGGCGTCGGGTGGAAAAGCCCCCGGCTGCCTGCTGGGGGGAGTGGAACCAGCGAATTTCATGCGTCTCCTTCTTGTTAGAGTGGGGTCCCTCCTCACCTGCTCCTGGGCACAGTTTCCTGCCCCCCGAGCCAGCAGTGAGGAATCTGACTCCAGTTTAAAGACGAGGAGCTTGTCCACGGTCTGCAGCCCAGCTCCCATCCCAGGAGGGGACACGCTCGGGGCTCTGCCCGTGCTGGGCTGGGTTTGCCAGCTGTCTGCACTGATCTGGGGCCTTCCTGCCTCCCCCAGCACCAACCCCTGTGAAAATTCGGCACAAAGACACCTCCTGAGGGTGTCCCTGCCCTCTGAGGGGCACTGGGTCGCCTGGGCCTGGCCAGGGGCGAGTCATCTCATTGTGCCCACCTCAAAATCTGCTCTGTGCTGGGCTACATCCATCCCCCAGCCCTTCTCTCTTTTCCTGCCCTCCCATCCCGAGGCACTGCTGAGGACACTGTGCAAGCCCCCAAATCCCATTGTGGGCTGGAAAACCTGGCCATGGCACCCACTGCACCCCCCATGCCAGCCCCACAGGGCCAAGGCTGCCCGCAGCATCCTCCCACACAGGCAGCGAGCTGGGAACGCCATCCCTCTGCACTCCATTTAGGGACAACCCCCTCCTGTCCCCATCGTGCGAGCACTGCGCCACGCTCCCCTCCTCCCCAGCAGCGGGGAGGGGGTGACATCGCACCCCCCACGGAGGGACAGGCAGGGGACGTGCTCCGGCAGCGGAGGCTGCTGGCAGGGAGCAGACCAGGCCTTTGGAAATCCTTCTTTGGCCGTGACTCCTGCCAAGCACGCCGGCATCCATCCCCAGCACCTCTGCAGCCCTGGCTCCGCGTCCCGGGGCAAACGGGGGCTCCTCGGGGGCCCCCCGCCGCTGCTGGCTCCGAGCTGGGGACCCTGCTGAGCTACTGAAGTGCTGCAGACGAGGCTCCAGCCCCTCGCGTGAGCTGGCCTGCCGTGCCTGGCACCGGGAGAGCTCGGCTGTGCCGCGGGCACGGCGCCAGGACAAACACACGCCGTGGGGAAAGGAAAGGTGGGACACGCCAGCCCCCCCAGCGCCGCGTGTGTGCCGGTGTGTGACAGCGGGGTGTGACACCGGCGTGGCCTGATTGGCATTTTCCCTCCTCAAAATGGTGCCCACGGGTGTTTTCAGTGGGAAAAGCCCTCGATTGTCAACCCTTCCACGTGCACGGAGCCCTCCCTGATGCTGCATCCCCTCCTTGCAGCTCGCAGGGGGATGGTTTGGGGGGCTTGCCCCACAGCATCTCCTCCCACTCTTGATGCTGAACCTCTCAACCCAGCAGCAGAGAGGAGCTCTGTTCCATGCCCATGCCAAACAGCCCAGCAGGGATTTTTCTCTGGTTTGCCAGAGGTTTCATCCCAGCTCAGTTTCCAGAACGGGAACAGCCCCGTGCCCTCCTGCTGGCCCCATGTGTGGGATCAAGCCCACTCCCATCCTGGGACCAGCACCCCACGAAGCCACCGACTCGCCCAGCTCTGGTACAAACCTTTTATTCTATTCCCCCTCCCAGCTCAGGGCTGGGTTTGCCCTTCGGAGGTGAGGCCGGGAGGGCTCTACCGCGGCCGGGAGGGCTCCACCGCGGCCGGGAGAGCTCCACCACGGCCGGGAGGGCTCCACCACGGCCGGGAAGGCTCCTGCCCGGGGATCGGGGGAGCTGCCGTGGCTGGAACATCAAAAACTCCACCGAGCTTCACACGCGGCCGGAAAGCAACAACGAAAAGTGGACCCCAAAACGGACACGAGACCCCCGCCCAAGCCCACTCCCATCCTGGGACCAGCACCCCACGAAGCCACCGACTCGCCCAGCTCTGGTACAAACCTTTTATTCTATTCCCCCTCCCAGCTCAGGGCTGGGTTTGCCCTTCGGAGGTGAGGCCGGGAGGGCTCTACCGCGGCCGGGAGGGCTCCACCGCGGCCGGGAGAGCTCCACCACGGCCGGGAGGGCTCCACCACGGCCGGGAAGGCTCCTGCCCGGGGATCGGGGGAGCTGCCGTGGCTGGAACATCAAAAACTCCACCGAGCTTCACACGCGGCCGGAAAGCAACAACGAAAAGTGGACCCCAAAACGGACACCCCCCGCCCCCACGCCTCCCCCAACCCGGTTCCCCAAACCCAGATATGTTGGATGGGTGGAAGTGACACGGAGCAGCACAAAACCGGTGGGGATGGGGATGAGAGCCCCCGGTCCCACCACACCACAGCCCCCGGGAGCCGCCGGCACACATAGAGAGCCCAAAAACCCAGGGGAGGGGTCAGGGGTAATAAGTTAATCTGTACAGACGTGTTAGGTGACACGGGGGTGGCGGGACCGACACCCTCCCGGCACAGGGGTGTCCCCGTGGGGCGCCGAGGAGCCGCATGCCGGTGCAAATCAACCCACGGAACGATGCGTGAAATCGAGTGGTGGAGAATGGGGGGGAGATGGGGAGCGGGGAGACACCTCCATGCCCACGGGCTGTGCCAGGGTGAGCCGTGCTTGGTCCCACTGCCCACTTTGAGGGCAACACTGTGAGTCTAGGGACACAGAGGCCGGGTCCTGCCTCAGCTACAGCCCCGCAGGCTGCTCCAGCGTGGGGCAGGCATGCTGAGCCCAGGATGGAGCCATCCCTACAGGATGCCGAGCCCAGGATGGAGCTGTCCCAGCAGCTCCCACCTCCTGTCCGAGTTTGGAGTCAGGGAAACGCCGCCTCATCCCCTGCTTCTTGGCACCAGGGCCAGCTCCCCAAGGGCATCACGGAGCAGGGAGGGGAAGGAGCCATCCCAGGGCCCCTCCACCGCTCCGGGAAGGGGCTGGCTGGGTGCTCGCGTGGGCACGGAGGCGGCGGGATCCGCTGCCGTCTCCGGCTGCCAACGCCAAATCCATTCGCCACGTTTCGGCTCCCCGAGGCAATCGGCTCCGGCCGGCGGAAGGGAGTTCCCAGGGCCGGGGCCGGCGCCTCGGAGGCTCAGCCCAAGGTGGGAGGCCGGGGATGTGCCGAGCCAAAGCTCAGAAGGCTGCAGACACTCTCCATCCCCCACCGCAGCCGGCTCCCTCCTGCCCAGCGCTGGACCCATGCCCGGAGGGCTGCGGGGCCCCGGCGGCTCCGGGCGGGAGGAGACAGAGAGTCCCGCTCCGGGGACGGGCTCCCTCCGGCCTCCCAGCTCTGGCAGCTCCCCTCTCGGCTCTGCAAGCCAGGATCCCAGCTCTCAGCGCATCCCTTGGGGAGGCAGAGCCGCTGCCCGGCTCCTGGAGTCTCCCCCAAAGCTGCCGTGCCCGGCGAGGAGAGCGGGAGCCGGAGATGCCCGTCCGGGAGCTGGGGACGTGGGGAGCCGGGCGGGATGGGGGGCGATGCCGTGGGGATGGTGAGAGGGAGGTGGAGGCGGTGGGACGGGGTGGGAGCGCTACAGGATGGTCTTGTCCAGGTCGACTTTGAGGGGCAGCGGCCCCGCGGCCTCCCCGCCGTGCGCGGGGCACAGGGTGACGGTGATGACGGGCGGCAGGGGGAAGGTGCCGGGGCCATCCAGGTCCTCCAGGTACTCCTTGTCCCCGTTGATGCTCAGAGGCTGGAAGAGAGGCAGAGACAAGAGTGCAGCCCCAGAACGGGGTGCAGATCACCCCCAGCTTGGGGGCACCACGAGGCTGGCTGTGGATGCACCTCACACCCCACGCAGTGAGTGGGGACCACAAACAGGGCAAAGCAATGTCCCACCCAGCCGTGCCACGTGTCCCTGACACCCTGGGGGCTGTGCTCACCCCATACCTGCGTCTTGACGTGCTGCTCGGGGGCGGTCACCAGGCTGGCACAGCTGAGCCACAGCATCACCATGATGGAGAGGAAGAGGCAGGCGGCCAGGATCCAGCGAGGAAGGCCCGAGCGCCTGTAACACCCCACCACCCCCCGCCAAAGAGGAGGCACGAGTTTATGGCAGGGCACAGGCTGGGAAATTGGGGATGGGGGGGATCTGCTCTGCCACATCCAGCAGGTCCCAGACCACCTACTTGGACATGCAGCCGAGGAAGTCGTGCTCCTGCTGCGGGGGCTCCGGGGGGTGCGCCTTGGCTTTGCCCCGCGGCTCCTTCACGGGGGGCTTGTCCCCCTTTGCCCGGGGGCCTGGGAGGGGGGAGGCGATGCTGAACATGGGCACCCAGGTGGGCACACCCTCCCCTCTCCCATCCCCTTGCCAGCGTGGTGGGGGTCCCCCTCTCTTCCCAGGACCCTCTGCCCACTAAGGGGGCACAGAGGATCCCAGCAGCTTCATGGAGCAGGGCCCCATCCAGAGCCCCCCCAGCGTGGGTGGGGGTGTGGGAAGCTGATCAGACCCGAGGAGTGGGAAATTTGTTCGGCTCTGGAGAACTCGGAAGGGAGCCAGGAGGGCTCGGAGGCTCCCAGCCCCCTCCCAGCAGCCCAGAACCCCCCGCACCTGTGTGGGGCTGGGGGACACCAGGGCTGGATCCTGATCCCAATCCTGGCTGTGCTGGCTGGATCTCCAGGGCCTCGGGTGCTGGATACTCCATCTCAGGCTGGGACTGGATCGGCAGGGAGAGAGGGAGAAGGCAGTGAGGAAAGGGGTTCCCACCCCTCCGGGCACCCTCAGAGGGGGTCCTGGGGACACCCCCACCTGAAACACCACGACTTTGCCATCGTCCGCCTGCAGGTAGAAGGTCCAGGTGGAGGAGATGAAGCTCTGGGCAGAGCTGACGATGTCGTTGCAGAAGGTGGAGACCAAATCCAACATGGAAAACGATGGCGCTTTCAGCTCCAGGCTCTGCAAAGGAGTGGGGACATCACCTCAGCGCTGTCCCCTCATCACCCACCATGGCAGGGCACATCCCACCCTGAGGTCGTGGCTGGGTTGAGCCGGCTGCTCAGGTCTGGGCTCAACCTGCTTCTCCCAGGCACATAAAGGGATGTGCCAGGGCTATGCTCCACTCCCAGGAGGGTCTCCAAGCGAGGGCTGTGATCTCTGGGGTGACCACCCAGCTTTGGGGCCATCACCCAGCCCCAGGACCATCCCTTTGGGGTGGGATCACGCTCCTCTGCCGGAGACAATGGGAGCGGAGCAGCCGCGGTGCCGAGGGCGTTCCTCTCCTGGCAGCCTCTCGGTGCCCTGGATTCTTGGCCGTCGCGGCAGTTTGTTATTTTTAAAGCATCCCTGCTGGAATCCGCTTGGCTGCTCCCTGCCACTGGCTCCGAACATTTTCCGACAGCCCCTTGCACGGTCAAACCAGCAAACAGGAAATAAATAGGTCAGATTCTGTATCTAATTATTATGCTAAATCTGCTTTGCCTGCTCGTCTGGGAACCTGAGGAAAAATGCTTCGGGTGGGTGGAGGGGGTGAGGGCCCTCCCTGTCACCCCCAGTCACCCCCAGATGCTCATCCCTGGCCTTGGAGAGGGGTTGGGAAATGGGATCAGGCACCGGGAAGGTCTTAAAACTGGGCTGCAAAGGAGTGGTTTCAAAGGAGCTTTTCACTCTTTTTACGGCGCGGATTCATCTTTGCCCGCACGTGCACGGAGCCAAAAGCCTCTTCCTTGGGCCAAAGTCTAATTTAATTAATTGGGCAAAAGCTGAATTAATTAAATGTAGGAGGGGAAAGCGTTGCTGATTGCTGGGAAGGATAACAAATCAAAACTGGGGGAGTCTGCCACGATCCCCAGTCAGATCCTCTCACGCTGGGAATTCCCTGTGGTCTCCCTGCCTGGCCCAAGCCGAGCCCAACCCCATTAATTTGCTTTTTAGACTTGTGACCAGTGGTGGCTTGGATCAGCCTGGCACATCTGGAGCTCTCATCCAGATGGATGGATGGATGATGGATGATGGATGGATGGTTGGGCTGCACATGTGGGGTGTCCCCCATCCCAAGGAAGGGGGGAACTGTGCTGAGCTCCATTCAAGGAAGGATTTCCCCATCTCCCTTCACCTTCTCCTTCCTGCTCTCCTCCACCTCGGGCAGCTGCTTGCGGCACCCGGTCACGCACCCAAACTGCTCCTCTGCGTTTCCATAGGCTTCAGCACAGGCTGGGGGAGAGGAGGGGTCAGGGTTGGGGGGTGCTCAGTCCCTGGGACCCCCGTGCCCCTCCCCACTGCCCCCCGGGGCACATCGATCCGGGGCTGCGGGGCTGAGCGGGGCGGGATGCTCCAGGGGTGTCGGGTGTCAGGTGTGACGCTGCTCCCGGTGGGATTTGGGGATGGGGATCCCCCCGGGACGGGGTTTGGGGCGAGGGGACCTCTCGGCCACCGGCTTCTCTCACCTGCTTCGCACTCGGCTCTGGTCGTGTTGAGCTCGGCGCTCGCATCCACGAAGTGACAGATGGAGAACAGCCGGCAGCCCCGGTAACAGGCGTTGAGAACAGCATCCTGCGGCGAGGAGGAGGAGAGCGTGGAGCTGGCACCGGGCTCAGCCCGGTGGCTGAGCCGGACACCCCCAAGGCGGCCCCCCGCATCCAGCGGGGGGGCACCGGGCAGCGCCGCCCCCGCCCAGGATCGTGGTGAGGGCTGGCACCCCAAAGCAGGGAGAGCTGCCTGCAGACCCCCGGGTGCCCCCCACTCTGGGTCTGGACGGGGCCGAGTCCTCCTGGAGGGTCCCCCCATCTCTGCTGACACCATCCAGGCCCTGGCATGGGCTGGCAGGAGGTGGGGTGCACTGCGCTGGGGCAGGGGTACAGATTTGGGAGGCCGGGCACACACTGAGGAGGTGTGGGGGGCACACAGAGCCTACACGGGGGTCACTGGGGTTGGGAAGGCTCAGGATAAAGGGGTGACACTGTGGGCACCCCAAACCCATGGGGATGCCCTCACTGGGGGCACCCCAAAGCTGCTGGAGGACACCATTGGGGGTGTGGGGGTGCCCCCCATGTCGCTCCCCCTGGGGGTGTGCCCCAGTGCGGGCCTGCATTGGCAGAGATGCCTGCCAGGGGTGTCCCCACTGCTCCTGGTGGCCCTGCTGCCTCTGTTGTCCCCAGTCCCCTCCAGCGCTCCCAGTGCCCCTGGTGTCCCCCCTGGTGCCCCGGCTGCTCCTGGTGCTCAGTGTGCCAGCTGTTCCTGGTGCTCCCCATGCTCCCAGTACTGACCCCGATGCCCTTGATGCCCCCCAGTCCCGTCCCCCCCAGTGCCCCCCAGTGCCCCCATTGCCCCAATGATCCTGGTACCCCAAATGCTATTGATGCTCCCCATGCCCCTGGTTCCTCCCAGTACTCCCAGTGCCCCCAGTGCCCCCGACGCTCCTGGTACCCCAAATGCTATTGATGCTCCCCACGCTCCCGTTGCCCCCCCAGCGCCCGGTGCCCCCCCGGACTCACGGCGGCGGCCCGGCGCTGCAGGCTGCGGCCGCACTGCCCGCGGCACCCGCCGGTGTCTCCCAGCTGCGGCGAGAAGGGGTCGGTGGCGGCGGCGGCGGCGGCGAGAAGGGCCAGGCCGAGGGCGAGCAGGGCCCGGGGCCGGCGGGCCGGGGCCGCCATGGCGGGCGCGGAGCGGAGCGGAACGGAGCGGAGCCGAGCGCACCCACCGCCGCCACCGCCGCCGCCGGCCCCGCCGTGACGCGCTGTGCGCCGGGCGGGGGGAGCCGGGGGCGGGGGGAGCCGCCGCAGCCTGCCGCAGATCCACCGGCACCGGCACCGGCACCGGGCGGGGGGGATGACAGAAGGGTGCGGGAGGATGGGGGTGCCCAGGCAGCGGGGGGTGAGGGGAACCCCGGGGTGCAGGAGAAGGGGGGAGAGGGGGGGTCCAAGGACCAGGGATGCACGGGGATGGGGGATGCAGTGGGGGGACAAAGGGGACATGGGAACCAGGAGATTTCTGGGGAGCAGAGGGTGTAGGGGGACCATGGGCTAAGGGAGGCACTGGGGGGGGGGATGCAGGAGGGTTCAGGAGGAGCGGGGGATGCGCAGGGACACAACAGGACCTGGGGTCACCCTGACACGGAGGGGCTGAAGAGAGCAGGGGGACTGAGGCCATGGCCGGGAACCGCGTCACACTGGCACTGGTGTCACACAGAGGGACAGGGCTGTCTCGATGCCACCCACATGGACCAACCCCTCAGGAGGATCCCCAGTGTCGGACCCCACTGTGCCACCCTCTGTGTGCCTCGAGGACTCACTGAGTCACCTTCATGCCTCCCCTCCTCATCCTCACTCCTCAGGGCCCCCCGGCCGGTGCTGGGCTCTCCCTGACACCCCGGATTTCCAGCTGTGATTTCCCCGGCTTTAAAGGACATCAAAGGCACCTCCCACACCCCCACTCATCCCTGCCCTGCCCATTCCCCTTATTTATGGCAGCACCCCAAAGTGGGCCCGGGGGGAGGAGGAGGGGGAGGGCTGGGGGCTCCGCTAACCTCCGGCCCTAATGGGGAACACATGGCAAGACCCCGGCGCGGGGAAGGGGGGGGTCTCCCTGTCCCAGCTCAGCACTGAGGGGTGCTCCGTGTCCTGGGGCGGGTTGGGGGTGCTGGGGGGCGCAGCCTGTGCCCCCCCCGGGAGCAGGGAGCGGGGCCTCTCCTGGCCCCACCAGTTTATTCATCTTATTAATCAAAGCAGGGCCGGCAGAAAATGAGCTGCGGCCGGGCCGGCGGGGCTGCCAGGGCGCTGCGCTCCCCTTCCCCCTCCTGGAGCCCCGCCAGCCCCGGCCCCGGGTCCGGCACCGGTGACGAATGGCCGAGTAAATGGGGTAGATTGGGGGCTGTCACCGTAAATCACCGCGCCGCAGGTGGGGCTTCCACCGGCGGCAGGGGCAGAGCCGCAGCCCGGACCCCCGGGGGCACCGGGAGCCTCGGGCCGGTGGGCACCGCTCCTGCCGCACCTGCCTGCTCTCCATCCGCTCACCTTTCCACGGGAAAAAAAAAAAAAAAAAAAAAAAAAAAAAAAAAACCTCCAAGCTGGCAAATACTTGCTGCCCTCCCTCCTCCCCTCTCCAGGAACACTCGATGCCTTTCGCATTTATCACTACTGACCTACATTTCTTCCCCGGAGCCTTTGGGGAAGCCTCAGGCTCCCCCCAACGTTGTCTGGGGTGTCCCCACTGTCCCTTCCACAGACAGGGGACCCTTCACTCCATGTCCCAGCCCTGCAGAGCCCATCCCTCGTGCTCAAGCACCCTCTTGGCATTCCTTCCCCTCCTCTAGAGCAGCTCAGACTCCGTCACGGGACTGTTTGTGCTTCCCAAAGCAAACAGAGGCGGGAAGGTGCGGCCGCCCCGAGGATGCTCTGGAGGGAAAGGGTGGGGGGGTGGCAGAGAAGGGGTTAAGCGGGTTATAAATTACCCATGGATGTGGAAATGTGACTGAGAGGAATAGAAAGCAAACTCTGCCTGCTGGATTCTTTGCATTTCTTGCCTCTTTATTTTTCCCCCAGGTCACTTTAAAAGGATGCAGGCAGTCGAGGCAGCTCCGCTGCGCCTCTCCTCCCGCTTTTCCCGGGGTTTGGGTTTTTTTTTTCTTGTTTGTTTTTTACACCCTGGCCCTTGAGCCAGATGCTGTCTGCGTCCAAGGATTTTATGGAGTGAGCTCTGGCTGGGAAATCAAGTAATTAGATTAATTCAGGGCCCTGGTGACACATGATGGAGGGAGGCGGGAAGGTGACGGCTGGTGGGAAGCCGGACCGAGGATGCTCAGAGCGGTTTTGGGGATGTCCCCAGGGCCACCCGCGTCCATCTGGGAGGAGCCAGGGCAGAGCAGAGAGTTCGTGGCAGGGAGCTGGGCCCCATGGCCAGATCCTGCCCCGCAGCGGGGCAGAGAGGCCCTGGGAACGGAGCCACGCCGGGGGGGCAGCGGGACCGCGCCGGCCTCGGGGGACCCCCGTGCTGACGCCGAGAGCCCGGGCCGGGGGTCAGAGGGGGGGTCCGGGCTGGATCCTGCCTCCGGCCGGTGCCTGTGAGCTCGGCGGCTCGTGGGCCGGAGGGAGCAGCTTTAAAGGTCACTGTCAAAGGGCAGCGCTGACCACAGCTGCGCTGAGCGGCCGCCGCTGACTCAGAGCGCGGGACAGCGGCTCGGTCACCTCCGGCTGCTGCCGGACGGGTCCTGACGCCACCCTGGCACTGCCCGGGGTTGGGGACCGCTGTCCCCTCACCCTGTCCCCATGCCACAGGTGCTGCTGCGAGCTGGGAGGTCCCTGTGCCACCTGGGGTGACAGCCCACCGTGTCCTAGGTGACACCAGAGGGGACCGACACTCCCCTCCCATCACCACTGTCCCCCCATCTTCCCCCTGCACGCCAAGCACAGCCTCAAGCCACCTCCTGATGATTCCTCTGCCACCCAGAGCCACCCGTGTCCCCTCTGCCAGCACCAGGGTGGAGCCACCCCTTCCCCGGGATCCCCCCCCGCGGCTGGCTCCCCTAAACCCCACAAATTCGGGGTGCACGCCGAGCAGCCCGGCCGGCGCTGGGGGCAGGGTCTGGGCACTGCAGGTGGGCAGCCGGGGTGGCCGCTGCTCCCTCCTCCGCCTCCAGAGGGGGAATTTCTCCTTTTCCCCAGCACCCAGCGCTGGCTGCGGTCCCCGGTGGCTTCCCGGGGGGCGCGGGCGGTGGGTCGGGACCGCGGGCGGCCGCCAGCCCCCGGGACAGCCGTGATTCACTCGGTCAGACTGCGGCCGCTGGGGCTGAAGTTTCTCAGGCTGGGTGGCTCCCGGAGCCTGACATTTTTGGGAAATTTCAACAAAAACAGTTCAGAAGCTTCCAAAAAACAGGACGATGGGAAAAGGCATTGTTTGGGCTCCCTCCCCCTCTCGTTTTTTATTGTGTTTTCTAATCTCTGCAATCCCTGCTGGTGCCCAACACCTCGGAGCCCCACTCAGGGTCACCCCCCGACTCCCCCCACCCCGAGTCCGTGGGGCACCCCGGGCCACCCAGGTGTCCCCTGCCACCCTCCACGCTCCGTTCCCGGCAGGGAATGCTGTCCCCTCTCCTCACAGCTGGGGACACGTGGGGACAGTGACCTTGCCGCGAACAGGAACTGCTGTCCCGGGGGTCTGTGACCTGTCTGAGGGTCTGCAAAGCTCTCGGTGCCACCGAGACCCCGGTGGGGGCACGGGGAGGAACACTGGGGGATGCCCAAGTGGGTGGCTTTGTCCCGATGCTGGTGACACTAGCGGACATGCCACCACCCCTGAGGACAAACGCAGTCTGGGGGGACTTGGAGCCACTTGGGGTGGTTTTTCCACTTCTTTGGGGTTTTGAGGGGGAAAGCCCAGAGATGATGGATTCGATAGAAAACATCAGGATTTATGGGATGATATTCCTGTTTTCAACCCAGAAATAAGCAATAACAGGGCTTTGGATCTCGAAGGCGCTCGGAGCGTGGGGAAGCCGCGGCGGGGGGGCCCGTTCGGCGGCGAGAGCGGCCCCGGGGGCGCGGGAGGGTCCGCGCGTGAGTCACCCGTGGGCCGGCGGCCCCGGAGCGGCTCTTACTCACCTACCGGGGGGGTCGGGGGGAGCGGGACACCGGCCCCGGGGAGGGCTGGGGGGGTCCAGCATCCCGCGGCGGCAGCGGGCACCGGGCGGGGGCCAGTCCCGGGGCCGCTCCCGGGATCTGTCCCGTGGCCGGTACCGGAGCGGGACGATGGAGTTGGGGGGGTGGCGGGGCCGGTGGCTTTCTGCCCCCCCGGGGGCGGTCCCGGGGCGGGGCCAGGGCGGCAGTTGGGGCTTTGGTAACCGGGGGTTGCTCAGACTTGCTCGGGACTTCCCCGGACGTGCCGGTGCGCTCCGCCGCCCCGGGCACCGACGGGCACCGGAGCAGGCCATGCCGCCGCCGCCGCTGCTCCCGATGCTGCCGCTGCTGCTCCTGCTCTGCCCGCGCCTGCCCCGCGCCGACCCGCTCTCCTGTGAGTACCGGCAGCACCGGGCGGCTCCCGCAAGGTGGGCGCGGGGCGGGCGGGGGTCCCGTCGGGGCCACGCGGGCTCTGCGCGGAGCCCCCCGGGGCTCTCCCGTCCGGCTCCGGCCCCGGCGTGCAGAGCCCGCCGAGGTTCCCCCGCTCCTTTTCGCGTGTCCCCTTCCCCCCCAGCGGTGCCGGGATGCGAAGCCCCCCGGGGCTGCCCGTTCCCCTCCGTGCGCCGCGTCCCCCCCGGCCCCGGGATGCGGAGCGGTCCCGGGAGCGGCGGGGGCACCGCCGGGCGCACCTCGGGGCTGCGCTTCCCCTGCTGCGGAGGAGGACGGGGACCCCCCCGCGGAGGGCTGCCGGGACCACCCGGAC